GGAGCAGAGGGAACAGCAGGAGCGGCTGCGCGAGGCCGCGGCCCTGGGGGACATCCGGGAGGTGCAGAAGCTGGTGGAGAGCGGGGTGGATGTCAACTCCCAAAATGAGGTCAACGGCTGGTAAGTGGTGATCGGGGGAGGCCCAGGTTCAAGGCCACGGTCCCTGGGCGCCGGACAGTCGGCCTCAGAGTGGGCCCAGCGCTACCCCACACCCCTGGCTAAGCCTGCGGGGCGCGTCCTACACAAACCCCGCCGCGGGGCCATCCCGGGCAGCGTCCCCAGTTCCCGCTGCCCCCTCTGTTTCCGCCTCCGCTGGCCGCCTGGGCCTGAACCGTGCTGGAGACCGATTCCTAGAATCTCTGCGTTGGTGCTCACCCTGGTTATTTTTGCCATAGGTGCTTCGTGCAAAGCCCAAGCAACCGAGGAAGCAGAAAGTTTAGAAACTCCCACATTTTTTTTTTTTTTTAAGACAGGGTCTGCTTTATAGTTCAGGCTGGGCTTGAAATCACTATGTAGCCCAAGCTGGCCTCGAACTCCAGGAGATCCTCCTGCGTCAGCCTCCTGAGTGCTAGGATTACATCATGTCCAGCCCCAACAAAGTGATTTACAACCTTTTCCCTAAATAAAAAATCCTGGGTAGCTGTTCAGAAAGCAGGGGAACTAAAAATACAGTCCTCCTGTTGTGTTTTGTTTACAAGTGTTTGCAAACTTGCAGCTCTGTGCCTTTTAAGAACATTGCTCCGAACATTGTTCAAAGCTGTAAGTTACTGTTTTGGCACTGGGAGGCAGTGTTGTACTGATGCATAAGCCTGGGCTTCACCTTGTGCTCTTCTCTACCTGCCTAACTGTGCAACCTTACCTGAGTCACTTAATGCTCCCTTTGAGAAGGGTGTTGTGAGCACTTACGAGGTGAGGAATATAAACAAGAGCATCTATTGACCATGCTCTGTGGCACAGATGCGATTCTGAGCCTTTTATATATACCGTCTCCTTCCCAACTACTTGAGACGTAGCTATTGTTCTTTTCCCCATTTTACAGATGAAGGAACTTGGGCCCCGAGATTTCCTGTTTGTAAAACACTCCTAAATTAATAAATTTAAAATTTAGTAATTCTACATCACTGTTAGAATTTAAGTGATTAGCTAGGTGTGGTGGTACATACCTGGAATCCCATCACTCCAGAGGCTGAAACAGGAGGATCACTGTGAGCTTGAGGCCAGCCTGGACTACATCCTTAGTGACACCCTGTCTCGAAAAACAAAACGAAACAAAAAAATTTAAAATATAACGAATCCACCGGGTCTGTGATATTTAAATGAGGTGATGTATAAAAATGTGCCTAGCACAACACTTGCCATACCTTGAACACTCTGCCTAAAATGCTTTACTCTGGATTCCACCTGGTTTACTCTTTGTCCTCCTTCAGATCTGAGATATCCTCTTCGTGGTAAGCCCTTTCCTGGGCCTTCGATTTAAAATTGCATGAAGTGCCTCCCCAGTCCTTGTTATTATGTAATCTCTGACCCTGCTTTATTGTCTCTGTTACACTAATCGCTGCCTAGCCTACCCCATGCTTTGCTTATTGATGTGGTCACTGCCTCAGTTTCCTCACCTGTAAAAGGGGGAGCATGTCGATAATAGTGCTTACCTCATGGGACATTCATTTTCTTTTTGGTACCGGGGACCAAACTCAGGACCTTATGCTCAAGAAGCAAGCGGCAAAACCACGTCATTTTCTTTTTGATATGGGAGGGTCCCTGTGTTGCCCAGGCTGGCCTTGAACTCCTGAGCTCAAGTGGCTCTCCTGCCTCAGCCTCCCAGGTAGCTGGAATTAGAGTCACATACCTGACTCTTCATGGAATATTTTGGAAGATACAATGAGATAATATAGAGAGCTTTTATACCAATGTCCAACATGTAAAGCGTTACATCTGTGTTAACTGTTTCTACTATTTTGTCCTTATTAAGCAGTATGGTGGTAATGGCAAATACTTCTTTAGCACAGAAAAGCAGGGTGGTGGCTGCTTTCAGTTCTTGGCGGTGATGCGTGAGGCCCAGTTGGTGAGCGATGCCAGGGCCCTTAGACTGAAGTGCTTCCCAGTGCCGATCCCATGTTCTGACCGAATGCCCAGGCTAAGTCGTTGACTTTGAGACAGAGGGCTCACATCAGTTGCCCTTCCAGCGTCGTGAGCCCCCCTCCCCAGCTCTCAGGAACAAGTGTGAGGGCTCGAAGAGGCTGAAAATCCTGCCTAATCACAACTCCTGAGCCCCACAGGGCAATAAGCAGTGACCGAGGTGGTGCTGTGTTGCCTTCTCCCCACTTTGCGTGGTGACACTGTCACCAGTCGGTGTGTCCCGGAGTTGCTGTGACCCACGTGCAGTAAATCCCTCTCTTCCCAGCTCACGACAGATGAGTGATTTACTACGAGCATGCAAGCACTTGATGTCCAAGAGTGGCTGTATTTTTCTCATCATGCCACATTCATTTTTGAGTGCTCACTTCTTATAATTATTCCCTTTTCAAGGCTGTGCCACACGCACGCGCGCGCACACACACACACACACACACACACACACATTCTAGGCTATTTTGGATCTCCCACTCTAAGCAACGCCCGCCTTCCCCTCGGTTCCTTCACCCACTAATAAGAAGGAAACACCTGTATGCACCAAGCAGACACTTTCCTGTCTGTGTGGAGTGTGTAGTTGAGTCTGGCCCGATTCTGTGCCTGGGTGTGCAGCTCAGTGGATAGCGCTTGTGTGAGGCCCTGACTCCATCCCCATCACTGCCCACAAAAGCAGCAACAACACAAGACTCATTTTCTTCACACGGGTTGTAGTTTCATCAGAGGGGCAGCGCAGAGGCTCCCGGGTAATCTCGTTCTGATGATAGTGTAGAGTGTCACTAAACATCAGTGGAGTTGCTCCCGGCCAACCAGCCAGTGCAGTTCTCTGGAAGTCATAATGTGGTGCCCAGGGCAGAGCAGCCTCTTCCAGGAGCCAGGCAGCTGCTCTTCCGTGTTCGTGACCTGACCCTCACTCTGGAACACGTGCTCTGTTCTTCATCGCCCCCGTGTCCGGTGACAGAGCCCTGAAGACACCCATCTCAGTTCAGGGAGGGAGGTGGGGAATGAGAGCATTTCAAACCAGAGGGAAAAGTCTTTTCTTTCTGTAATATGCATTCAGCCTTGGCACCTGGGGTGAATTCAGTAGCTCCTAATCCTTTAACTTTTACTAGGATGGAGTTTTTGCCAGCATGCTAATGACATTTCTATCCATTATTAATATAATAGCCCCTTGGAGTGTGCAGAATCACCTCCTACGTGTACATGTTAAATAATTAGTTTTACTTAAATGAGTCTGATCATTCGAAGTCTGATCTTGAAAATCTGAGGTTATTGATAGATGCATTTTAAGTGCTCTGGGAATGAAGCTATGTGTGCAGTTTCTTTTGTCCAAGCAGATGAGGATGGGTTTGGAGCCTTCTGGAGAAAAATAGGAAAGCCAAGTTTTTAAAAATGGAAATTTAGCCAGCTGTGGTACTGCACACCTGTAATCTCAGTACTTCGGAGGCAGAGGCAGGAGGATCACCATGAGTTTCGAGGCTGGCCTAGGCTACATAGTGAGTTCAAGGCCAGCCCGAACTGCATAGCGGCGAGACCCTGTCTCCAAAAAAAAGGAAATTTGGAAATCCAGTGTGTGTGTAGAGGAAAGAAAAGAAAGAGGAGGGAGCAACTGAAGTTCAGACAGGAATATCTGCCGAAGTAATACTAACCGACACGACAGAGCAGGCTGCAATTAGCCTGATAATAAATATTTCATCCTCTAGTAACACTAGATGTATCTGAAGTGAATTTTTGTTGTCCCTGAAAAGGAAGGCGGCAACACAGAGATGTTTTGAGGAGACAGCGAATCTCAAGAGTAACACCTGAAGTGTCACTGGAATCAGCCCCCTTCTGGAAAGGATTGACGTGAGGGCTCCTAGGATAATTCAGTTTCCCCCAGGGACTGGGACTGTTTTTAAAATGCTAGAGATCAGACCCAGGGCTTGGCATGCTAGGCAGGGGCTCTACTACTGAGCTACATCTTCAGATGCAGAAATGAAACTTAAAAAGAAGTTTAAAGCATATTAAGTATTTTGACCATCTGCTCTGTGAAATAAAAAGTTGAGATTACCGGTTGGTGTCTAGCTGAGCTCCAATAGGCTTCCACGTATCTATGAACTGATGTGTGGAATCTGAAATCCCAACCCGCCTGTCCTTGTCCCCTCCCATGGAACAGGACCTGTCTACATTGGGCGTGCAAACGCAACCACGGGCAAGTGGTCTCTTACCTGCTAAAATCAGGAGCTGACAGAGAGATCCTGACCACCAAAGGGGAGATGCCAGTGCAGCTGACATCGCGGAGAGAGATCAGGAAGATCATGGGAGGTGAGTCTGTGTTTGGGGGAACATTTGATTTTGCCAGACTAACTTGAGTCTTGTGTTATAATTGGCTACTTTTTTTTTTTTTTTTTTTTTTTTTTTTTTGGTACTGGGGATCAAACTCAGGACCTTGCACTTGTGAGGCAGGTAGCAGCATCACTGAGCTACATCTCTGGCCCTGGCCACATTCTTGATGCCAGGAAAGCAGCTGGTGTATTCCTCAAAGCTAACCATTGTGCCAAAACAGTAATTCCATATTGTTTCTGGGGAGGTCAAAATCATAAGGTTCCTGTTTGGTTTTAGTCTTGGTAAAATTGAAGATAGTGATAAAAGTAGTAAATACAAACCTAACAAAATATTCTTTTCCTTTCTCACCTGAAGAGCCAATAAACACTGACCAAATTTTAAAGCACACAGCTTCTAAATGATGCTTTTTGGAGTCATTTTTATTATTTATTTATTTATTACATTTGTTTTGTTTTGTTTTTTGAGACAGGGTCTCACTATGGAGTTGAGACTGATCTGGAACTCACTATGTAGCCCAGGCTGGTCTCGAACTCACAGCGATCCTCCTGTCTCAGACTCCCGAGTGCTGGGATCACAGGCGTGCGCCACCACGCCCAGCGGCTGGAGTCATTTTTAAAGGGCTGTACCATTCTGTGTTTTCTTCTCTTTAAGTGGAAGAGGAGGACGATGACGACTTCCCCCAGCAGAAGGAGTTGGAACTGCCCTTTGTTCCCAACTACTTGGCCAACCCACCCTTCCCCTTCATCTATTCCCCCACTGCAGAAGATTCAGCACCGCTGCAGAACGGAGGCCCCTCCACCCCTCCAGCCTCACCCCCCGCAGATGGCTCCCCTCCGCTGCTGCCCCCAGGGGAGCCCCCCCTGCTAGGGCCCTTTCCTAGGGACCACACTTCTTTGGCACTGGTGCAGAATGGAGACATGGCTGCCCCCTCTGCCATCCTCAGAGCACCAGAAAGCACAAAACCGGGGCCTGTTTGTCAGCCACCAGTGAGTCAGAGCCGCTCCCTGTTCTCTTCTGTCCCATCCAAGCCACCTGTGTCTCTGGAGCCTCAAAATGGGACATTCACAGGACAGGCACCAGCCTTCCAGCCATTTTTCTTCACTGGAGCATTTCCATTTAATATGCAAGGTATGGCCTCATCAGCGAACGGTCTCTGCAGCAGGGGAGTTGGGCCCGGGGCTCTGAGATCTGCTTATATGTCCAGTGTATAATTACAGACTTAAAGAAAAGTTGCAGGGCCTTTAGAAAGAACTCCTTTTACTCAGATTTAGAAAGTGTTGGGCCGGGGATTTAGCTCAGTGGTTCCGCTGCCTGCCTCCCAAGTGCAAGGTCCTGACTTTGATCCCCAGTACCAAGGAAAAAAGAAAAAGAAAGGTTTATCTTTTGCCCTGAAACACTGGAGTATTGTTCCTTTGTGGTCTTTCTAGAACAAGGATATCCCCCCCCATTAAGTTTATCAGTACATTTAAAGCAAACAATACAGTTATATTTATCATTGGTGTCTTGGACCTTTACATGACAGATCTTTGTTCTCATTTTTTCCCTATACCTCTGCCCTCCCTTCACCCCCTCCAACCTCCCCTATTTACAAAGACTTTGTTTCCATTTATTTCCTTTTCTCATATTTTTCTTTTTCCTTATTTCCTTTTCTCTCCCCTTCCACTTCCCCTTTAGCCATTTTCTTCCTATTTCACACTATCAGTTATTCCATTGGAAATTTATTTACACTTTTAGTTTTTCACACCAGAGAAATTTGTTACTCAAGTGTGTCCTATTTATTTCACTTAAGAGTATGGCCTTAATGTGCAACCATTTAGCTATAAACATCTCTAGTTTCTCATTCTTTATGGCTGAGTAGTACTCCATTTTATAAAAAAATTACATATTCTTTATCCAGTCTCCAGCTGATGGGCATTTGGGTGGTTTCCAAGTTTTAGCTATTACAAACTGTATGTTTTTGTTTTGGTTTTGGTTTTTGAGACAGGGTCTTACTATGTAGTTGAGACTGACCTGGAACTCACTATGTAACACAGGCTGGTCTCAAACTACCTCCTACCTCAGCCTCCCGAGTGCTGGGATTACAGGCGTGTGCCACCATGCCCGGCCATAAACTGTGCCACTATAAACATGAGTGAGCATATATCGCCGTGATATGATTCTTTTGATGCTTTTGGGAAGATACCCAGCAGGGGAATAGCTGGGTCAAATGGGACCTCTAATTCTAGTTCTTTGAAGTATCTCCATACTGATTTCCACAGTGGTTGCACCAGTCTGCCCTCCCACCAACAATGGAGAAGCGTTCCTTTCTCCCCACAGCCCCACCAGCATGTGTTATTGTTTGGTTTATTGATAGCAGCCATTCTTTGTGGGGTGAGGTGGAATCTGTTGTTTTCATCTGCATCCCTTGAATGACCAGTGGTGCTGAACATTTTCTCATATATTTATTTGCTACTTTTACTTCTTTGTCTGAGAAATGTCTGTTCATTTCAGATGCCCATTTTTGAATTGGGTCTTTGTATTTGTGGGGGTCTGATTATTTTTTTTAGTTCTTTATATATTCTAGATAGTAGTTCTTTGTGTAAATCCTCCCCCCACACATTTTAGGTTGTCTCAGCTCTGTTGGTGATTTCTCTTACGGTGCAAAAACTTTTTAATACAATGAGATCCCAGTTGTTGATTCTTTGTGCAAGTTCTTGTGCTGCTGAGGATTTGTTCATAAAGTCTTAACCTATGCCAATTTCTTCGAGTTCTACCTAATATATTTTCCAGTAAATTTAGTGTTTCTGTTTTGATATTTAAATCTTAAACCCTCTTTGATTTTACCTAGTGCATGGTGAAAGGTAAGGGTCTAGGTTTAATCTTTGGCAGGTTGAAATCCAGTTATGCCAACACAGTTTATTAAAGAGACTATCTTTCCTCCAGTGAGGATGGTTGGCTCCTTTGTCAAAGATGAGGTAACTAGCCAGGCATGGTGACATATGCCTGTAATCCCAGCACTCGGGAGGCTGAGGCAGGAGGATGGCTGTGAGTTCAAGAGCAGCCTGGGCTACATCATGAGTTCCAGGTCAGTCTTAACTACATAGTGAGAACCTGTCTCAAAAAAAAAAACAAACAGATGAGGTAACTGTGTCTAGTGTTATTTCTGCATCTTCTAATTTATTCCACTGATCCTCGGGTCTGTTTCTTTGCCAGTACCATGCTGTTTTTATCACAGTGGCTTTGTAGTATAGTTTCATGTTGGAGATTGTGATAGCCACTGCCATGTCTCTGTTGCCTAGAATGACTTTTTCTATTCTAGATCTCTTCTTGCTCCAAATCAATTTTTGCATTATTTTTTCAAGTTCTGTGAAATACACTGTTGGGATTTCAATCAGGACTGCATTAAATCTGTTTAGCAGTTTTGGAAGTATGGTCATTTTCACTATACTGGTTCTTCCTACCCAGAAGCAAGGGGGATGTCTTTCCATCTTCTTATATCCTCTTCTGGCTCTCTTTTCAGAGTGCTATAGTTTTCAGTGTAGAGGTCTTTTGTGTCCTTCATTAGATTGATTCCTAGATATTTCATTTTTTGGGGATGTTGTTGTGCAAGGGATTGTTTCCCTAATTTCTCTATCAGGGAGTCTGTGTACAAGAAGGCTATTGATTTTTGAGTGTTGACCCTGTATTCAGCTACTCTACTGAATCTGTCAAGTCTAGAAGTATTTTGGCAGTTTTTTGGGTCGTCTATGTAGAGTATCATATCATCAACAAATAGTGACAGTTTAACTTCTTCCTTTCCTATCTTTATTTCTTTTATTTCTTTCCCTTGTCTCATTGCTGTGAACAAGGATATTATTTTATATAACTTCAGGACAGTTATCAAATTTAGGAAATAGATCAAGTATCATGATACATGCCCATATTCCCAGCTACCCAGGAGAATGGCTAGCCTGGGCAATTTAGACAGAGCCTGTTAGCTCTCAAAATAAAGAAGAGTCGAGGATGTAGCTCGGCGTGAGGCCCTGGGTTCAGTCCCCATTAAACACACAAATTTTAAAAATGTAACTTTGATGTAGATTCCAATGCTGTGAACATTGAGGCAGGAAGATTAAGTTTGAGGATAGCCTGGGCTATATACTGAGTTCATGGATATCCTGGGCTAGATAGCAAGAGCCTCTGCCTCGGCCTCCTTAGTGCTGGGATCATGGTTGTGTGCTGCCGTACCTGGCCCATGTTTAAGCTTTGTCAGCTGCCTCATCAGTTCCCGCCACACTTCTGGCCCAGGATCACCCATTCCTTTTCATTATCGAGCCATCTGTCTTCTTTAATCTGGAGCAATCTCCAGCCTTTCTCTGTCCTTACCGCCTCAGTATTTCTAACAGTTCAGGCCAGTTATTTTATAGAATCGGATCTGTCGTTCTCTACTAGTTGGTATGTAATTGTAAAGAAATGCTTTCCCTTCCCCATTTATATCCGTATACTCATGGATTCTTATGTTCACTGGAATTATTATTATTGTTATTTTGATATTCAGGTCATTCCTGATTTGGCCAGTGGGAACTCTTTCAGGCTTGTTCTTCCATCCCCGAGACCTGTCTCCATCCTCCTCGAATACTTACTCACTTTCTAGCTCAAAGAGATGTTCCAGCTGCATAGTGTAACTTCCCCTACCCCCAGCCTGGAATCAGCCATTTCTCTAAGCGGCCCTGATTCTTTTCGGTAGAGAATAATATTTAGAAACCAGGACTGGGCCCAAGGCTTCCTCACTCCTCTAGCTGTGTCATTTCTTCCAGGCTTACACAGAGGACTGAGGTAGGAGAGAAAGAAAAAGCAATCCAGGTGTGGTGGCACACACATGTCCCAGCACTCTGCGAAGCTGAGGCAGGAGGATTGCAGCCTGGGCCCAGCCTGGGTAACTCAGCAACCCAGTGAGACCTCGTCTCAAAATAAAATGTTTGAAAAAGGTCTGTTGGTGTAGCTCAATGCAAAGGTCCTGTGTTCAGTCTCAGTACTACAAGAACAAAAACATAAACATAATTCACGTATACAGGTGTACAGTATTCCTGTCTACTTACCTGCATCACTGGAAGAACATTAGAAACCACAGTTCATCCTGATGGCTCCAATTCCAAGCAGAACCCACAGGATACAGCCTGGTCTTTCATTTCTCCCGCAGCCCACTTCTGACATCTTCAGCCCTTAGTTCCAAGAGCAGAAGTGAGGTACCCTTCACACACTGGGACGGTTGTCCTTGCCCCCTTGACTCAGGGAGCCGCAGCCTTAGATGCAGGGAAGACAGCTGGGAGATTTCCTCTGTGGAGCCGGGACTGGGGCTCAGCAAACCTCACAGATCTTTGGCCCCAGCGTGATTAAGGGCACCCATTTCCTGGAAAATGCCTTAAGTTACCTGTGCCGTGCCATGCCAGACTATTCATTACCATTTCTCCTTTTTCCCAGAGCTGGTACTTAAGGTGAGGATTCAGAACCCATCCCTGCGAGAAAACGATTTCATTGAAATTGAACTGGACCGACAGGAGCTCACTTACCAAGAGCTGCTCAGAGTGAGCTGCTGCGAGCTGGGTGTCAGTCCAGACCAAGTGGAAAAGATCAGAAAGCTCCCCAACACTCTGCTGAGAAAGGTAAGGATGGTGTTGGGCTCGAGTGGCTGCTTTTGCACAGAGAAAACACCTAACCTCCTCCTTGGTGCTGTGAGTCATAGTTGAAGAAATGAAAAAAGAATAAACAAGGAGCAAGGTGGTTTTCCAAGTGTAATCAGGAAGCGTTCTTTCCCTCCACTGAGTCACGGAGACACCGGCAGTTTTGAAAGTTATAAGTTACTGGAGAGAATGTTCTGAATTTCCGTTCACATGTACCTATTTTCACTCACTTCCTTAGGAATTTGTAGGGATTGCTTTGTGCACCATTAATGTGCTTGGTGGTTTTTTTGTTTTGTTTTTTTTTTGGGGGGAACCAGGGATTGAACTCAGGTCCTTGTGCTTGCAAGGCAGGCAGTGGAACCACTGAGCTAAATCCACAGCCCTGTGTTTGGCGTTTACAAGAAAAAATTCAAGTTACCTTCTAGGGCAGACCCACATGGGTGCATATGTGGTTCTCTCATCTCGAACGTCAGGCTTTGGCTCCTCAGGGCCCCTGACGGAAATCGACCCATTCATTTCCTGTTCCCTCAAGGCCTGTGCTCCTCATGCAGCAGCGGCCATTAAGGCTTCTCCCGTGTCAGCCCGCTCATGCCAGTGACTTACTTGGTGTCTTCTGCCACAGGAATTTTATTTTCCCTTGAGATTCTGAAATGAGCCAAGATACTGGTCTTAGTACAGCCCATCGAGTGCCTGCAGACACACAGCTCTTAACCTGTTAACCCGTTTTGTTTTAGGACAAAGACGTTGCTCGACTCCAGGATTTCCAGGAGCTGGAACTGGTTCTTATGATAAGTGAAAATAATTTTCTGTTCAGAAATGCTGCCTCCACCCTGACTGAACGGCCTTGCTACAACAGGAGAGCTTCCAAGCTGACGTACTAACACTAACAGCAGGGCCTTCTATCCCTGAGTACCGTGACAATGCGTGTCATCTCTGGGCCAAGGAGAAGCCATTGATCCAAAAGCCTCGGATGCCCTCGAGGGCCCCTGGTGCCACTGTGTAGTGCGCACTGACACCGTTCTGCCAAGGCAGGGAGCCCTGACCTCACCCCAACAGCGGTGCCATGCTTCAAGCCTCCTGGTGCACAACAAACCCATCCCTTGAAACTGAACAGCTCGGAAGTGGTGTGAAGAGGCCGAAGCAAGCTTCTCCCCCGCCGGTGAGCTTTCTGTGCGGAAGGGAAGAGAGTGCTGAGTGAATGCGGAGAGCGGGGCCTGTCTCCTCGCACTTCTGTGCCCGGCGCCGTGAGGGCTGGGCTCTGTCTCCCTGGCACAGGCTCACGACTCTCCCGAAACTGAACCGACTGGAAGGAAGGTTGGGAAAGCACAGGCACTGGCCCAAGGGAAGTGAGCGTGATCGTGGCTGTGAGGTTTCCTATAGCGTATTTATAAATGTTACTCAGGTTAAAGTATTTAAGAATACAGTTACCTAATTGTAAATAGGCTGTTAACCAAAAGAGCTTCCCCTCCCGCACTTCTCCTTGTGCCCCTTCAGCCTGCTTCTGTCCCCAGTCATCTCCCGTCACCATCACTAGAGGGCTCTCTGCCGCTTTCCTCGGGAGCCTCTCCTGTTCCCTCTGAGGCGATTCCTGTCACCGATGTGTTGTTAACTGCACCGTCCAAGAAGAGCACAAATATTGCCGGTCCGTTCCCCACTCTCATCTTCCGCTAGAAGCGAAAAGCAGTTTTTGAGCCTGAATCTGTTGCTATTTTAAAGGTTATTGTGGGAAACTGAGCTAAAGGAGTTAGCATCTTTATTTTTGTATCAAAGATAAAGGTTATTTTGAAATTATTAGGATTTTTTACACAACTCTGAAATCTGTTGCTTTTGTAAACCAATTGTTTGATCTTAGGGACTCCTCCGACTTCCACCACCAGTCCACTCAGCAAAGCGAGTTGGGAGTCTACAGGACCTAAGCAAAGGCAGGAACAAACACCCGGTCAAACTCCTAAGCATGATGTCAGAGTGTTTTTCAAGAACGCAGCCAAGGATTCTTTTCCCTTTCCACAGTGTCATTCATGTTACCAGGGAGGTCAGCGTCTTGTTGAAACCAACAGCTTAGCCTTAGAGCTAGGAGCCTAGACAAATGCCCAGGAGAGCAGGGTCGAAGCCAGCCGACGAGCAGCAGCCCTGCTGTCTTAAGGAGCTCTCTCCCCACAGTGCCTGTCATCTCCAAAGAAACTGAACTCCCTGTTAATTTTATTAGAACACTGCAGTTAGCGAGAACATGCAGAAGATATCATGGAGGAGACTTGTGCTAAGATAATGGCTTCCTGCTGCTGCCCGAGTGCCGCCACGAGGCTGCGGTAATTCTTCGGGCCAGTTGCCCGAGTCACTCTGCTCAGTTGCTTGAGTCCCCCTAGTTCTTGCTGGCGACTCCCTCACCCTCTCCGGGTGTCTGTATCGCAGAGTCAAGGTCAATTGTCACCCCCTCAAGTGCTTCGAAGAAGACCCCTCTCTTGTGTTCTGTCCAGTCAGAAACTACTTTATCTAGATGTACCTTTTCTCCCCCTTCGCTTTGAAAAAGTCACAATTTACTAATATAATTAAGTGTGGTTCTATCCTGGAAGGAATAAATTCAGTATTAATTCATGTGTGCATTGCTGAGGTTTCACTCTTTGAACCGCCTAGATTCATTAGTAGCTGAAGAGCAGTGGAGGCCCCTGGCTGGGAGGTGGCCTGAGGAGGGGTCCCCTGGCTCAGCACAGTTGGAGAGAAGCCAGGTGTGCCTGGTGAGAGACAGGTGCCCAGCAGTGCCCCACCCCAGCCTCGCTCCTGCCTCAGAACCTCTCTATTCAGAGACCGGCAGGAGGACAAGATTGCACAGTGGCCAGGAGGCAAGTTGAAAGTCTCAATCTATGCATTCAGAGAAATATTTTTATATGCTTTGTGTAATTTCTAACAAGGATCTTTTGTTAGCTTTGTTAACTGTGGGCTCACCCCGCTCCGCTGCATCTTTAGAGCATGTGTTCACACGGTGTGTAAACATTCCTAGGAGATTCTTTTCTGTGTGCATTGCTAACTCTTTAAACCATAACAGATACCATTAAAGTTAAGTATTAACTGCCATTTTCTTTCATTGTGGTCTCCTAAACATCTCTGTCCTATTAACAGGAATTCAGACTGTTGCATGGTGCTTCGGAGGAGGAATTGCAGGGCCGGCCCCGCCCGAGCCTCCTCCCCACAGTGCTGCGGTGATGGTCAGGCCCCGTCAGTGGCACCTGGGGACAGATATTTGTGTGGCGTTTTTCCTCTCAGCTCCCAGTGGTCACCTTTACTTCCTGGAGTAGCTGAGCCAGCTCCGTGGGGGCTGTCCCCTATGAACCGCATTTTCTGATTACCCTGTCTCCTTGACAACCACGCCTCTTCCTTTGGGTCGTCAGCACCTGTCAGGGCTTCACCGAGCTCCGAGCTCCGAGGTGCAGACAGGAGGAAACGCGGACTCGCACCTCAGACTCTGAGCCGAGCAAGGTGTCAGTGTTCTGCTGTCCTGTTGGTTCAGGCCAGCTCGCGCCTTGCAGGGCAGACGTCGTGGCAGATAGACCTAATAAATCAGAGCAGGGCAGACCTTTTCTTAGCACCAACGAGAGGCAGAATAATTTGGGCATTTGTGCTTTCAGACTTGCTTTATCACAAGGATGGAAGTCGCCTTCCATATACCCATAAACGTTACGGGCAGAAACAGCCTGCCAAAGAAAATGTGATTAACCTTTAACAAATGGCCCTGTGGCTCAGGCCAACCCAGAGCACAGAGAAAAACTGGACTAGAGGGGCCAGGTCCACATCTACTGCAAACTGCTTAGGGTAGAGGGAGAAAAGACAGCTGTCGCCCACCACCACCAGGCACACCAGACCAGGGATGAAGGTGTAGGAGATGGGGGTGAGACCAGAAGGGTGGTGGGTGCGGGGACAAAGAAAGCTCTTCCGAACAGAAGGCCTGCTGCCAGCTGGACCCTGACCTGCAAAAACGGAATACACTTGGCTCCCTGGAAAAATGAATTTAGGCTGGATGTGGTGGGGCACGCCTATAATCCCAGCACTCAGGAGGCTGAGGCAGGAGGATCGCTGTGAGTTCGAGACCAGCCTGGGCTACATAGTGAGTTCCAGGTCAGTCCCAACTACATAGTGAGACCCTGTCTCAAAAAACAAAAACAAAAACAAAACAAAAAAATTGAATTTAGACCAGATGCGGTAGTGCACGCCTGTAATTCCAGCCCTCTGAGAGGCGGAAGCAGGAGGATTGCAAGCTTGAGCCCAGCCCAGGGAACTCAGGAGACCTTGTCTCAAAATAAAATAAGGGCTGGGGCTGTAGATTCAATCCCTAGTAGAGAAGAAAAACGGGGTGGGGGGACAGCTCTAGGCTTCTCTGCGGGACTGAAGACTGTGAGCGACTTGGAAGCCTCTGGTTATGGTTATGGTTATGTTTACCTGTCAGTAAAGGAGCAAGGAAGGAAAACTACGCCCCCCTCAGCCCCTGGAGGAACAGCTGGGAGGCTGAGGGACAACTGCACAGGGAGGTGTTCTGAGCGGCTTTCTCAAGAGCCCATGGGTCAGATTTCAGGGCCTTTATTTCTCACCTTTTCACGGTATCTGCACAAGCCAGAACAGCTGGCAATTACCCAGTGAATTTTGGCTGTGAAGCCTGTATTTCCAGCCAGAAGCTCCAGGTCTGAACTATTCAGGTGAAGTTCTGCTGAGGCCCTCCTCTGCTTTTCCCTATTCCTCCCAGTCTCCTCTGGAGGCCACAGTCCCTAAGCCCCATGAACAGGCAGAAAAAGGAGACCCTGGGGTGTGTCTGCTGCTGACCACAGAGCTTTATTTCCTCAGCACCCAAGTGAACAGGACTTGGTTCCCAGGACAGCCTGACCTAGCAGTCTTCTGTTCCAGGAGGAAAAAGCTTTATTAAAAAATACTTTAGAAAATAGCTCAGCCTCCTGTGCCGTGACTGTGGATGTGTCCTCCTCCTCCTCTTGGGCCTCTCTTCCTTGCTCACTTTCTGAGGCCCCTTCCAGAGGCACAGTCCGTTCTGTGGACACATGGTGTGATTTCCCTTCCAGGAAAGACTGGGAGGAAATCCCGGGGAATATTTTAGGCAAGTCCCGCATCCTTGGCCATCCCATAGAAGATGCCTCTAGCTGCGATGAGGTTGGTTGGAGAATCAAATTCAGCTAATACGCCCCTGTCCAGGACCAGGATCCTAGGCAGAAAAGACAAAGAAATGGTCAGGTCTTCACCAGCCCAGGGTTTCACCCTCCCCTGGGCACTGACATGCCAACCCATCAGTCCACCCAACACCGCCGTGCCTCGTGTGCACGCTTGTAGGCCTGGTTATTTTAGCCCTGCTTTAGCTCTCTTGGCAATGAAGCAGTTTCTGGGATCAAACACAAGGTCCTATTCATCTCTGGTAGTCTGGGCTCCAGAAACCTTCCTTAATGAGCCCTTCCCTCTCCAGGGTCACTAGACTGCGGCAGGCTGTGTGCAGGGAGCACAGGCCTGCGTGCCAGGCCCTGCGCATGCACCTGCTTTGTGCCAGTGACAAAGGAGCACGGCAGGAAACTGGCTGCAGCGAGGCCCGTGCTGGAATCTGGGACTTGGGCTGCAGATCTGTCTGCGGCCGTGGGGGGATCCCCCGCCCACACGCAAGTCAGGCCTGGGCCTGGCACGAGGCTCCCATACCACACAAGGGCGCGCCTGGGGGCAGAGCTGACAGCTGGCACTGCCGGGGCAAGCTGGGAGGGCCAGGGCCTTCCCCAGCCTGCAGAGCTGCTGCTGTCTGGCACCCCGCTGCGGGGCTCCCAGAAACTGTCCTGGGAGGAGTCCGTGCTAGCGCTGCCCGGCCACCGCCAAGCCGGAACCCAAGAGACCGCCCCCCAGAGCAGTCTGCAGTGGCTTCCCCTGGCTCTCGGGTGTTCCAGGTCCCCCAGGTACAGACCAGCAGGGCTGCTTCCTCTCCCCTCTGCTCTCCAGCCCTGTGTGCCTCCAGCTTCACAGCATGTGCTGCATGCTCTGTGCGGAAGTTTTCAGCTCTGTCCCTTCCTTACTGCCGCACTCAACCCCTTGTTCACCTACTGGCTGGCAGTGCCCTTCCTCAGGGAAGAAAGTGCCCGGTTGCCCCGTGTGGCCCATACTCTCAGACTTCCACTCCCTTCCTAAGGGCTCTGAGAACAGGTTTGCAGCATGACTATTGGATCAATTTCTGCCTGCCTTACTAAGGTGAGGCCAAGTCTCCTGCCCTAGGGCTGCTGGGAAGAAGCCATTTTTGCTTAGTGGGAAGGGGTCCTCTCAGGCCGGCCCCGACCCTGCTCCAGGCCCAGGGCCCAGCATGCCCCTGTTCACCCTCTCTTCCCTGCCCAGCAGGGTCCTCAATGGGAGTGGGACGGGGCTGGAACGGACACAGGGTAGCACAGGGCATTCTTGCTGGTCTCCAAGACCGTGCAGGCTGGAGAGGACCCTATGAGAGAGCCAGAAGGAAGCCAGGAGCTTCCCAGGGCAAGGCCCTCGCTCTTTCTCTGGGGGACCAGTGCAATAAGGGCACCTGAAGGGGCTTGGGACCAGTGACATTTCCCAAGGACACCCACAGTTCAAACACATTGATCATCCTGAGTGACATTATCATTTCCATTCTAAACACACGCAGAGAGGCTTTGCAGCTCGCTCAAGATCACACAGCAGTGAGTAGCCGCCCAGGGCCCAGGGGCTCAGGCTCAGTGCAGTTCCTTCTGTAAGGAGTCAGTTCCCGATGGTGTCGTCCAGGTCCAGTCCCCAACAGTGGGACCAGGCATCCCTCGCATCTTGAACCATCTTCTCCCTTGGGACCTGGTGTGGTCACCATCACTGTGCAGTAGTGAGGTGCAGGGGTCTCTCAAGTGATGGGGTCAGGACAAGGACCCTGTTCCCCTCACTTCATTAACAGGAAGCAGGGTGCAGGTGACCCTATCACAGGTCCCAGTGCTGGGCCCCACTGAGCCCTTCGCCCACGTGTTGGTAGCTCCCAAGGGTCCCTCGCGTCTTAGAAGGCATCCTCTTGCCCCCTCCCCTGTGCCCAGGTAGCTCTGCCCCTCATCCCATCTTGGGAGTCCTGCCCTGCCCCCAGGGCTCTCCCCCTCCAGACCCCCGTCCCACCTGGTGTAGTCCATGATCGTGTTGAGCCGGTGCGCGATGGTCAGCACGGTGCAGGCCTCGAACTGGGTGCGGATGGTGGCCTGGATGAGGTCGTCGGTCTCCAGGTCGATGGCAGCCGTGGCTTCATCCAGAACCAGGATGCGGCTTTTGCGGAGCAGGGCTCGGGCCAGGCACACCAGCTGCCGCTGGCCCACACTGGGAGAGAAGCAGGCAGCTCTGGCTGGGCACCCCACCCGGCCCCCACCTTGCTCCCCAGACCCCTCTCCTGTCACCAGTCTTTGTCCTCAGCCCCAGACTGGCTTTCAGGCTAAGCTCTCCCATTTCTGCCACAGCCCGACCCTCCTGGGACCCAGAGTTGAGGCCTGGGTCCCTCAGGAATAAAGGGTCTTGGGGGATTCATAGAGCCAGTACTAAACACCATTGTGAAATCCGTTTTTGGCACCCCAGCCTCTGCTTTCTGTGCTTGCTTCCTACCTCTTATTCCTTTGCCAGTGCTGTTTCCCCACTTTACTCCATCAGTCACTCACACCTTAGTGAGAATATGCGTGTATTGTTCTACTTGGGTACTCACGAATAAACTACAATATGCCAGCTCGCTGAGCCTGCAGCAACACCGTTCAGGCAACAGCACCCACCCCCATGGGAAATACAGGCCCAGGCTCAGTTTGGAAGACATGGAAGGAGCAGGGAAGGGGAGGGCCAGAAGTCTCCTCACGTTTGTTTACAGGGAAGCAGGAGAGACAGAGGCATAGCTTAAACCTCCTGCCTCCCGTAGACAAAGCAAGGCTGTGTTCCCAAGCACGGAGGACACAGCACCCCCACTCCCAAGGACAAATCCCTCAGCCCTTCCCAGAGGGGTGAGTCACCACAGCCACAGCGAAGGCCAGCCTCCCTCCCTGGCCCCGTCCCGCAACTAATGAAGCTTTTGGCAGCAGAACGAGCCGCCAGATAGGACTCAGGGCTGATTTATGGGGGGACTGGCACGAGATGCAGGTTACACTTGGAGCGGCCACAGACTCAGCGAGGGAGGAGGGGAGCCAACTCCTGTCTCCCCTTCTGAGGTATGGGGGCTGCAGGGATGTGCTGGGGAAGGGCTGGCGGCCCAAAGGCCAGGAGAGAGGGACAGGAGACAGCGGGGTCACCCGGCTGAGATCTGAGTGATCTGACGGTGCTGCTGGGGGTGGCTGTGCCTTAAGGCAGCTAGGAAAGGCTGGGAACTAAACCGGCTTCCCCGAGGCCCCACCCTGCCCCTGGCTCCCAGAGCAGCTTTGGGTACCGTAGTTTCATACCACAGTGCCTATTTCCGAGCCACAGGACTGCAGTAAGGATTAAGCGAGACAAGGGTGGCCAAAGTATTATGAACACTTAAATGCAGAGCAAATGTGCAGTTGTTTGTTTTGATTTTGGAGGTCTGGGAAGGGCCCATGAGTCGGGACTGAATATAAAAATGAAAATAAAGGGCTGGGGGTGTAGCTCAGTGGTAGAGGGTTTGCCTAGCGGATGTGAGGGCCTCCACCCCAGGTACTGCAGAAACAAAATACGCACGCAGAAAGAAAACAAGAAGCAGGAAGCACAGGATCAGCTGGCACTTCACAGGGGCACATCCAAGTGCATCCAAGTGCCTTTCGTTTCCCCACAGTGACTGAAGCAATACTTGGTGGCCACACACAGCTACGGGCACCTACATGTGGCTCACTGGGCCTGAGGGTGCTGTGAGGACGTGTAAGGTACACGCAGGATTTCCAGCCCCCACGAAAATGACTCTGACATCGTGATGTGCTGAAGTGATGATGTTTTAGACACAGGGGTAAATAAAATGTAATTTTAAAATTCACTTCACCTATTTTCCTCCCTTCCTGCTCCCTTTCTTCCTCTCCACCGTCCCTTCTTTCCTTTCTCCTTTCTCCTTCCTTCCTTTGTTTCCTTTCCTTCCTTTTTTTTCCCTTCCCCTTTCTAAGGAGACAGTGTCACACTATGTAGCCTGGCCCAGCCTTGAAGCAATGCTCCTACCTCGACCTTCCAAGTAGCTGGGACTACAGGCCTGAGCTACTGCACTCAGCCCCCACCTATTCTCTAAACGTGGCTATTAGAATAAATTGTAATTATATATATTTGGCTCCCATTGTACTTTTATTGGGCAGTGCAGTGTGAAGAGGTACGGACTATTATTATCCCTATTTTAGAGTGAAGGAAGAGGAGGCACCGAGAGCTTAAGCAACCTACCCCAAATCACACAAAATCACACAGCCAAAGATGTAGCTCAGCAGTAACGTCTGCCAGCCAAGCACACGTGAGACCTGGGTCCTTTCCCCACTACCAGGGAAAAAATGTCACGCAGCTAACACAGGCCTAAGGATCTCAATCTTTAGATTTGGTAAGAGTGACTCCTAGCCAGGCGTGGTGATGCACACCTGTAATCCCAACACTCAGGAGGCTGAGGCAGGAGGACTGCTGAGTTGGAGGCCAGCCTGGGCCACATGCTGAGATCAAGGCCAACCTGAACTACATAGGAGAGCCTGTCTCAAAAAAAAAAAAAAAAAAAAAAAAAAAAAAAAAAAAAAAAAAAAAAAAAAAAAAAAAAAAAAAATCAAAATAAGAAGGGAGGGAGAGGGGGCTTGGCTTGGGGGGCATGGGATAAAATAAAATTTATTTTAAAAGTTAAAAAATTTAAAAAAAATCAAAATAAAGCAAAAAGGCCCCTACTCAGACCTGGCTGACATAGGAGTGGCAAGAAGAGGACAGGAGGTGTCCAGGACTCTGTGTCATTTTGAAACAGGCCTTCTAGCACCCACAGGGTCCCTGGGAGGGCCTCGGGCCTGGCCTGTCTACCCCGGGATGGTACCTGAGATTGTCCCCACCCTCGGTGCACTGGAAGTCCAGGCCTGCGGGCTGGGACCTCACAAAGGCACGCAGGTGGGACAGCTCCAGGGCTGTCCAGATGTCCTCATCCGAGTACCGGCTGAAGGGGTCCAGGTTCATGCGAAGGGTCCCTGAGAACAGGATGGGGTCCTGGAGATACAACAGGGCCTGAGAGGGGAGGCTTGGGGCCCACGAGGAACCCTGGACCCCAGGTGCAGGGAAAAGGTTGGGATGAGAGTGTTCCCTACTTTCTCCCCAGCCCTCCAGGAAGAACACCAGGGCTGAGGAGGGAGAAAATTGCCCACGGGGGAGTGATAAACCCCACCTTTGGCAATCACTAAGTCCTCAGCTAAAGCAGGAGCCAGAGCCACTAATCTGCCTTCAAAGTGTCCAGTCTGCAGAAACAAATACCCCGGGGGAGCCAGGAAAAGCGCAGTGCAATCCTGACTCGAAAGCAGGAGAGCAGGTCTCAGGGACGGGTGGGGGCTGGGGAGGGCCTTGCTCCTTTCCCTTCCCTGGCCCAGCACTGTGGCTCCTGGGTGGCTCCGCTCTCTGCTATGGCCCCCAAAGGCCAAGTCCTTGGCGTGGTCCTCAAGTTACAGAACAGGGGAACCTCCTCCCCTCGTGGACATCACCCCTGGCTGGGCTGGGGCAGCCTGGTACCTGGGGGATGATGGTCAGCTGAGATCGCAGGTCCTGGAGGCCAATGTCTGCCACATTGAGGCCATCGATGAAGATGTCACCCTCTGCTGCCTCCAGGATCCGGAACAGGCAGAGGGTCATGGATGATTTACCAGCCCCAGTGCGGCCCACGATGCCTACCTGTGGGGGTGGGGAAGGGGCTGTCAGGGGAAGCTGGGGGGGGCACAGGGCACCTCTGGGTCTCCCACAGAGGCCAAGGTGGCATCCCCAGACATGGGTACCTTCTCACCGCCGTGCACACGAAGATTCAGGTTCTTTAGCACCAGCTCCAGGCCCGGCCGGTATCGTACAGAATAGTTCCGGAACTCCACCTCCCCGTGCTGGGGCCAGTCTTTGGGGGGGCGGCTGCCCTCCACCACCCAGGGGGCCTGGCAGAGGGGGACAGGTCTCAGCAGGGTGGCACCTTCCCCACCTCTCTGTCAAGGCCCCCACCGCTGTGTGCCTGGAGTCCTTTCTCTCTCTTCTTTGCAGTATTGAGGATCAAACCCAGGGCCTTTCGTGTGCTAGGCAAATGCTCCACCCCTGAGCTACCTCCCCAGACTTACATCTCTGACTTTTTCTCTGTGCTATAGATCGACCCCAGGACCTTTGCCCTGAGCTATACCCCTAACCCCTTTTCTTTTTGACTTTTTTGAGACAGGGTCTGGCTAAGTCACTACACTGCCTAGGATGGGCTTGAACTTGTGATTCTCCTGCCTCAGCCTCCCAGAGGCTGGGTTATAAGGGCTCGCCACCATCTCTCTGACTTTATTCCTGCAGAGCTGCTCCAAAATTTCCCACCTTGTCCCTGCCCACACTTTCCTCATGCCCCACACTCCTGAGGAGGCTGCCCTGCCTTCCCTAGCACCTCCTACCCTCACTTGATCCCTCTGGTGTTGCTAAGTAGGACTTGGGGCCAGGCAGTGGGGCACAAGGTGTCCTCAAGGAGACAAAGTTCTGGTCCCAGGAGGTTACATTCTAGCTCAGGTGCTAGAAGACATAAGCACAGTGGGTGCTGGGCTGCCTCCGGCTGGTTAGGAGTTTCCTGGAGGAGGCTGTTTAGTAAATCTCTGCAGGAGAGGACAAGGCTGGTGTACCTGGGTACAAAGGCCTCCAGGTGTGTTCTTTCTTTTTTTTGGCTTTTTGAAGCAGGATCTTCCTTTGTAGTTCAGGCTGGCCTTGAACTCACTATGTAACTCAGGCTGGGCCAGCCTTGAACTCACAGTGATCCTCCTGCCTCAGCCTCCTGAGTGCTAGAATTACAAGCATGCACCACCACACCCGGTCTCCAGGTATGTTGTGAAGTACAGAGACTTCACAGACTTCACAGAGACTTCACGGTAGGAAGCAGCAGGCTGAGATGGGGTAGGGGTGGGGGTAGGATGTGGCCGGCCCTGCAGGGACTCACAGGCCACTTCCAGGACTCGGCTTTACCCTGAGCAAGATGCAAAGCCATCAGGGCCACACACAGAGCAACAACAAGATCTGGTGTTTTGAAAGGAGGACTAATAGGGTCAGAAAGCAGGCTGCAGGTAGCGGGCTAGATCCAGGGTAATAAGACAGTTGGGAGAGCATGTGTAGAACATGATTTTAAAACAAGTTCACAACAGAGGAGAGCAGGGAACTGGGGCAGCAGGATACCGGGGGCAGGGAGGGCTTGTCTGTGTGTGTGCAGTGGGAGATGATGAACATTTTCGCACATGGATGGGGATCGTCCGACAGAGGGAGCAAGACTGACAGAATCGGGCACGGCTGGAGCAGCCGCAGAAAGAGGCAGAGGGGCTGGAATAATGTGTGATCAGAGGGAAAGGTAGACAGGGTGCGGGGAGAGGGACAGGGACAGGGCCAGGGGCAGGAAGGCTGAGGGAGCACATGTCTTCTAACCCAGTTTCTCCTGGGCAGGAGTGTCAGGCAGGGTCACCTGCTGAGCACGGGGAGATGTGGCTGAGGACAGAGGAAGCTCAGAAGAGGTTGTTCTGAAGGTGGGAACACGAGCTTCCTGGGGAAGCAAACAGGAACCTAGCAGGGGCTGCACTCATGAAGCATGGTCTCTGATTCCCTTCAGCGAGCTTCTCTGTGCAAGTTTGAAGAAGGTGGACGGGAGGGCTCAGCCAGAAGGGCTTTTGGGGAGAGGGCGGGAGAAAGAAGGGGAAAGGGAGGTGTGAGCATTCATGTTGGTGGGGCAGAGAATCTAGGCCAGCTGAGAGGGAGCTGAAGTCAGGGAGAGGCTGGCGAGACAAAGGGGAATCATCCAGCAAGGACACAGTCCTGTGGGCACGTGAGCCGGGCACGGAGGGAAGTGGTCTGTGAGCTTGGCACTGACAGCGTAGAGATGGTGCAGTTCCAGGCCACGGTGAGGTCAGGGGTGTGACCATGGCAGGGGCAGATCCCCAGGTGAGGCCACACAACAAAGGGCACGAGGCCCCAGCTGGGCTCCTTGGACCAGCCTGGCCCCTTTTGCTGCAGTGCTCACCTTCACCTCCTGTGTGCCACCATCTTTCCTAGTTATTACAAAGACGGATGGGTTTTGACTCTCAGCTCACTCCCTGCTCACCTCAGCTGCACAATCCTCCCCTACCTGCCCTCTTGGGGTGCACCATCCCACAGCTCCTGTCTACTGCAGAGCCTGCCACAGGTCTCACCTTCCCCAAGAATGAATCTCCTGAGGGCACTGTCTTGCTAAGTTTGAGCCCCTCTACACCTTCCATCACTAACCTCTGGCTGATGCTCTGAAGGTTGAATGGTAGGATGAGTGGATGGATAGATGCATGGTTGGAGGGATGA